ATGCGGGGTTGTTTGGTGACAAGGTGTTAGGTGGGACGGTTTGTGTGAAGCGGAATGGGATCCGAGTCATCCGACCCGTTTTGAAGTTGTTTTGATAGTAAGAAAAAAATCGTAAAGAAAACATGCATGGACTCCTATGGACCAATATCTATGTGTTTAATCTATGTTGACGATTTCAATGGCTTTGTTAAGTCCCCTGAGATAACTACTGTTGTGATTCAGGGCTGTACAAGAATACATTGAATTGAAAAGTCATGACAAGAGATGTGCAATGTTTTCAAGTTACAGTATAAAATGTAAGCAAAACCAATGCAATATTCACACACTTGCTAAAATAATATCAGTTGCCAATGTTTGACTCTCCATAGAACAACACTCATATTTCTGTGTATTTAATCTGCACATATTAACCATTATTTTAAAATCAATTTCACATACATCATTAAAACTTCTTATAGTGACCCTTTCAAATGAAGGCGGTGGTGAGAATATACTGGGGATTGCGTTAGATCAGAAATAATACCAACAAGATTCAAGATTCAAGTATGTATTTGCCATTTGCAGTAAAACCACATTGGAATAACTCTGCAAGACTGCCCCAGTGTGCACCAGACAGTACACACTAGAGCTATTGCCACGACGCCATTTTTCCAGCGCCATGCAGAAGGATGTGGTATGATACAGGATGTTGTAGCTGTTTGTTTTGTTTTGTGTAGTTTATCGGCTTGAATATTAAAACCTGTATTCTTATTTGAATGGAAAGTAAAAAGGACACACAAAAACGTATACAATATTAATGCTTGTATTTTGGTGAACAGGAAGTACGATATTGGGAAAGGATTCCTACCAGATGTTGTTGTTTGGTGTTCGGCCTAATTTGACCAGACACTGATGTTTTTCTGCTGCTGTTAACAATAAAAGAGAAGCAAAAAACCCAGAGATTACCTCATCCGCCTTAGGCATCATTGAGAAGCATTCACTCTGCAATGATTCACATACTGTATGGAAAATTATTACTATTATTATTAAGTTAATTCAAAGCTGCACGTGATAGGGCTGGGCGATATGGCTTAAAACTTTATCACAATATAAGTAATTCATATCGGTCGATAACGATATATATTGATTATTATTTTTATTTTTACCTGAATCATTAACCTACATAATCATTGCATATTGTACATTTTTGGCAAATTCTTGAGGAGTACTTTTAAACGACTCAGTGGGCGAATAGCACTTTATATAAGCACTTTAACGCAAGAAAATCACAGGAAATATAAAGACAAGTTAATAATAAGTATATGAGACCGAACTGAACAAATCCAAACGCCATATAAGACCTGGGATGACGAGTAAAAACGTTGGTCAGACTCATGGCACAGATCTGCTGCGAGACATTTATCTCAGTTTGTCAGAAAGAGAGAGAGAGAGGTACTTGATTTGAAAAAAAACGACGCACTCTCCCTCCCCCTTCCTTTCTGATTGGTCTACTACACCTACGTTTCCGTAACACATTTAAATGTTAATGAGAGAACTGAATTATACTGTACATATACATTATTAATACACATGCACGGAGGTTTTCAGAATTATTTGTTAACGTTTTCATGAAAAAAATTATGTTTTAATGCACAAAAAACGATCGCGGCAAACCTGGAGGAAGCTATTATCATTAATTGCACATTATAGGACACATCTGCATATGGATTATGGATATAGATTCAGTATATAATGTACATAAGTACCTCAGCGCAGATGTTCAGAATTCTTTGTTCAGTTTTCATGTAGTTCCAGAGCCTAATGGAGGCTTGATTCGGAGGCTCCGCAAAAACAAACAACTGAGTATGCGCGCAGCTACGAGCATGGCATGACTCCATTGGTTAACGTGGACGGCATCGTGGATTCTGAGCTATAGCTAAGAGCGGGACTTAGTAATATTAGAATTAATAAAATTACTTATTTTATATCAACAGTTAAGGCCAGGTCAATTTACTACAATTCTTAAAATTTGTAATTAATTTAGAGTTACATACTATCACTTTAATTCATAGAAAACCCGGGACCCTTCACGCAAGAAGGGTCCGTGGTGAACAACCATTTCTCACGTTTTTCACCACGGTAAAGTGGCCCGGCTTTTTGCCGTCGCGGTAAAGTGGTCCGCACATTAAAAGCGGGTTGCTCCTTTACGCTGTTAATGAAAGTAAATGTGGAAAAGGAGCCCGCGGGGATGAGCAACCAAAATGCAATGTTTAAAATTCATCATCACTGTGAACAAGTGTGCAGTGAAAAGAGTTGCTAAACTTTTTTTAATTAATTTTTATCCCCTCATCCCCCCCGGCTTCCCTTTCTACATTTACCGTAGGTAACAGCATAAAGAGGCAACCCGGTTTTAATGTGCGGACCACTTTACCGCAGCCGTTTTTTGTTGTTCTTTTCCAAAGGAATTAGAAGAAGAAAAAAAAACTTGATCTGGCCCCAGCGGGCCGTACAACCGACCACACCACAAGAATGGACCATTTGAGTTAGTAAAACCTTTCTCCAAATGTCTGAAACTAGCTAACTCTCTGGCATCCAGGTAGCTTTCTATGCTGTTTTGCCACCCAGTCACGTGACCGGCGCGAAAAAACTATAAACAACAACGTCACTCCAAGATCCTCCTATTGCAAACGGCAAACGTGTAACAAAGATCCCCGTGAGTCCGTTTTGGGATGAGAGATGTGAAAGACAGTGCACCTAGATCCACTTTGTGAATACTTGTGACAAGTATGTAAGTACTGTAGTACTAGTAACTAGTAAGCAGGGATTTGGATAGAAACTCCTGATTAGGGCTGTTAAACAATTATTTTTTATTATTATTTTAATTACAGCTTAAAAATGTATTAATCGTAATTAATCGCATTTCGGCAAAATTGTGCCATATTTTTCTGTAAATAGTTGTTTGAATGGAAAGATAAATAACAACATAGTGTACATATGTACTGTATTTGTTTATTAATACTCTGAGTGTTATTATGGGATGTATGGGCGGCTCATTCGGCACATGCGTCAAACGCATTCATTTTTTAAACGCGATTAATGAAAAAATGTAATAACGTGCGTTAATGCAATCATTTTGACAGCCCTAATAAATACCCAAGCTTTAGAAAACAAAGTAGACTAGTTTTAAATATTACGCAAATAAAACACAAATTACTATGATACTACCCAAAAATGCTTTACATATTACATCGTGTCTAATGACATATTAGATTTTAAAGGTGGTTAGAACCCCCGGTGCAAAGGCAATCTTATTTACAATGAGTTTAATGGAATCAATGAAGCTATAAAATATATTGGGATGGTTCCAAATACCACTTAATGTGTCAGCTAATGGAAGTCTTCGGGAAAAATGGACAACAAACAACAATGTATGACTGTGTTAAGGAAGCAAACATTCTCAGATCAATTAAACAAATACTGCAGACAATGGTAATATATTGATGAAATGTATTATTCTATGATTCATAAGTGTAGAGAAACGTGGAAGTTGAGTGCGTGCTCTGCTGGTGTGTGTACAGCCACGACACGCGAGCCTACTCTGCCGAGGAGAGGCGTGGGTCACTCGCTGCTCTTGATGTGTACCGGCCATAAGTGGGAAGTCGACCCCAGGGCTTATAGCGCACACCATTGTGTGAAAGAATCTCCCAAAAACACTCCAGTCGTGTTTGACGAGCACATACGACAGCCTTATGTCACATATCGCCAGAATGATTAACAACTAGGAAGACTACGATCCACCTGGAGAAGAAGATTCTCCTATATACCTTAACACTTCCCAAGTGCTTTTAGTTGCAAGTTTTAAGGGTAGCATTGGAGCTAGCTTATTTATCATGCACATTTCTTATAGAACAAACCCATGGAAATTACACACTCTATTTACTTTGAATCTGCTATTTTGCACATGGGTCGATACATTAAAGTCTTTAGTGAGTTTGAAAAAGAAACATGCTTCAAACAGTTATTTTGTATTCATCAGTTTCTCACACGATGAGTCTGTGCTGAGATCTGAGCTGAAGTGACTGCAAAGGATCAAATACACATAAAGTTACATTGGATACAAGTAGTGATACAGTTTATACTGTTTTTGTTCTTTGTTTTTGATTCTTCATTGGTAATGTTTTTTTTCTGGATATTATTCATACTGGAGTCCATATATAAAAAAAAAAAATACACACATTAACAAATAGGAAATTATTTATTTCAAATAACCTGTAGCTCTGAAACAGTTGTTGTTTTGTGCTTTATATGTTTTATTTTTCTTGCTTTTTTATACCTGCAGTACAGTGTTCATGGTTTTGCACTGGTCCAGACCGGAGCAGAGAGGATCCATTGTCCGAACCAGGCGGATCAGGCAAAAATCCAATGGAGAACTTTTTGAAAAATGCTAATGCAGCGTTTGACATTTTACTTTAGACCAGAGCTGAGAAAATGGTCAGAACCAAGCGGCTGATCCACCTTGTGACCTGTCCAGCTCCATCCAGCGGCTACTCCACCTCTGCTGCTGTGACCTGAAGGGCTTTTGTTTTGCTGATTATTACTATTGATAGCTTTTTAGAGTGATCAATTTTATTTGTTATTTTTGTTGCTAATGGACACATGAATTTCTCTTACGGGGATCAATAAAGTATCTATCTATCTATTTATACAAATTTAGATTCACATTATGTTCTGTGTCCAGTACGAAAATAAGAACAATTGTGCCTCAGCTTTAGGCCCAGGGAAGCCTACTTCAACTTCTACTTTTGTCCATTAAAGCTGGAATATTATTTCAGGTTTTTAAAAAATAACATTACCATAGCAACAATACAAATACTACAATAGCGATGTAATGCAATGATGTAATCGCTATGACACACATTCTAGATCATTCAAGATCATTTTAGTGCTAAGAGACCAATCTGCCTCATTCAGACACTGACACTTGACACGCACAGATGCAAACCAGAGCTATAGCAGAAACCATGAAAGACTGGAACCTGTACACGTCTGAGGACGACGAACACCTCTACACTGAGGCCTTTGACCTGGAGGCTCTGCTTGCCCCAACACCACCAGGGGTCGTCCAAGAGCCTGCTAGAGCAGAAACCATGAAAGACTGGAACCTGTACACGTCTGAGGACGATGAACGCCTCTACTCTGAGGCCTTTGACCTGGAGGCTCTGCTCGCCCCAACACCACCAGGGGGAGTTCAAGAGCCTGCTACAGCAGACACCATGAAGGACTGGAACCTGTACACGTCTGAGGACGATGAACGCCTCTACTCTGAGGCCTTTGACCTAGAGGCTCTGCTCGCCCCAACACCACCAGGGGGAGTTCAAGAGCCTGAGCCCCAGGACATCCTGTTGGAGTCCATCATCCAGCCGCCTACTCCTCTGGAGGAGAGTGCAGTGGTGCGGGCTCTCCGCGAACAGCTCCAAGAAGCATGGGCTGAAATCAGCTCTCAGGCTGAGGTGAACAAGGCCCAAGAGCTGAAGCTCCAAACTCAGCAACAACGGGCTGACGACTCTGCCACTGAGCTGCTGGAGGCAAAGAGGAAACTCCAAACCACAGAGAGCAGCTTTAGGGAGCTGACCAAAGACTTTGGAGATATCCGCTACCTGTACAACAAGGCAGTGTCTGACAAGGCCAGCCAAGGCCAAGAGCTCGTTTTTGCAAAGCACCTTATTGCAAGTCTAAAGAAAAGCATCCAAGACCAGGCCAAAGCCATACAGGAGCTGCAGCTGAACTCTGCCAGGGAGCGCCACGTCTCCAGGTACTTCATTCTTGCTTCTTCATAATTAAGTTGGAGATTTTACATTTGTTTCCTTATTATGCAAGATAATCTATACTTTCTCCTTTATGCTTACATTAGAGATGTTATCCTCAGTATAGTGTTATTGTTTGTTTATCTTTTGCTGTGAGCTCGTCATTCCTACTGTTCTGTAATGCCTCCACTGTGGGATGAATAACTGTTGTCTTGATCTGAATCCAGGGCCATGGACACAGAGGGACTCTCTCAGCGGGACATGTCCAGCCAAACTTCTCCTGAGGACTTTGCCTCAGAGCTGCAGCAGCTGAAGCAGCAGCGCAGAGCCACACAACTAAAGTTACAGCAGGAGGCTAAAGACTTTGGAGAGATGCAGATCCTCTACAACTCTGCTGTGTGTGACAAGGTCACTCTGAGGCAGGAGCTCACCTCTGAGCTGATGGAGGCAAAGAGGAAGCTCCAAACCACAGAGAGCAGCTTTAGGGAGCTGACCAAAGACTTTGGGGATATCCGCTACCTGTACAACAAGGCGGTGTCTGACAAGGCGAACCAAGGCCAAGAGCTCGTCTCTGCAAAGCGTCTTATTGCAAGTCAAAAGAAGAGCATCCAAGACCAGGCCAAAGCCATACAGGAGCTGCAGCTGAGCTCTGCCAGCTCCAGGTACTTCATTCTTGCTTCTTCATTATGCTTAAGTTGGAGATTTTACATTTCAATCAATCAATCAATCAACGTTTATTTGTAGAGCGCCTTTCCTACACAAGGCAACGCAAAGCGCTAGAGAATCTGTACTTACTTATTTTTTATGCTAAAGCTAGAGATTTTTTCCTTAGTATAGAGTTATTGTTTATCTTTTGCTGTGTGCTCCTCATTCCTACTGTTCTCTAACCCATGATGCAACACTGAAATGCCTCCACTGTGGGATGAATAAAGGTTGTCTTGATCTGAATCCAGGGCCATGGACACAGAGGGACTCTCTCAGCGGGACATGTCCAGCCAAACTTCTCCTGAGGACTTTGTCTCAGAGCTGCAGCAGCTGAAGCAGCAGCTCAGAGCCACACAACTAAAGTTACAGCAGGAGGCTAAAGACTTTGGAGAGATGCGTATCCTCTACAACTCTGCTGTGTGTGACAAGGTCACTCTGAGGCAGGAGCTCAGGCCACAGAGACCAGCAGGAGTAGGGGACCAGAGGGGAGTGTCCAGGCGCCGTCAATAAGACACTAACCTCCTACAACCCGCTCCAGACATTGCAAAATATAAACATGTTCACTAAAGATGGAGTTTGTGTGTCTTATTAATGTCTTTGAGAATCTATTGAAATCTATGAATGAGATTTAAAGGCGCTATACCCGTTTCTGCAATGTTTGAATGTTTAGCACCGCCCCCCAACTTGCTCACAGGCTTCTCATTTCCCCTGCGCTCTCATAACACGGAGCCACCTAGTTTTATTTGCAATCTGATATGTATGCTAACATTAGCATTAGCACAACTTCTTGTAAGCTGTACAACAATCAATGATGAAATGGTACAAAAGCAATGCACTGCTAACACAATATATAAGTTAAAGAATACCGCTAGTTTCGCGTCCGAATGTATTAATTTAAACATTAGAATATATTCTAATATTGAATTATAATTTATTATACAGCTCCTCACAGCAGCAGTAGAACACTCCATTGACTTGAATGCAATTCTTCCGATCATTTTTTCTTGATAACAGAACTCTCAAACCAATAATGACCGAAGCCCCAATGCAATCTCTGTTTGTAATTCAGGTGTGTAAAATACTGCCATTACTCTGCAAGTACAACAAGCTATCAGCGCCTGTCACTACATTGTGCAGTTTTTCTGCACACTTGTCTGTGTAGAGAAGCTAGCGGAGCTAGCCACGCTCAATAAACAACTACATATCAATCAATCAACACCATTAAACGTTAATCGGACAATACAGTATACATATACATCCTTAACACACATGCACGGACGATTTCAGAATTTGCTGTCAACGTTTTCATGACAAAAATAGGGAGGGAGGCGTGACTGTTTACATCTGAGCCCCCTTGGCCCCCACCACATCTCTCCGCCTACCCCTCACAAACACCGGATGAGTACAATGGTGCAAACAGTGACTCCTATCTGTCTGGCAGTATAACTCCAGTTCTTCCACTGAACCGTGCAGCCTCTCGCTCTGAACAACAGAACACCTGTGAGAATTTTGGCCCCAAACAACCACAAAAGCTTTCACACCCTAAACTGATAGAGACTGTGCACATTCCCCGCTCCAGCTCAAAAGTAATATTTAATCTTAAAAGAGCTACTTCAGGCGTTAGACATAAAAACTTAATACAAATTCCTACCCAATCTACCAGTCCTAAGAATATGCTTGTGAAATGTGGTCTACTAAACATTAGGTCACTCTCTTCTAAATCCCTCCTTGTAAATGAATTAATCGGTGACTCCAATCTTCAGTTACTTGCCCTTTCTGAGACATGGCTCCAGCAAGACGACTATGTCAGATTGAATGAATCCACACCACCCACCCATGTAAATTATCAAAACGCTAGAGCCTCAGGCCGTGGAGGTGGTGTCGCAGTTATAGCGCACTTAAGTTTACTCCTTAATCCAAAAACTAATGGGACATACTCCTCCTTTGAAAGCCTATCACTGTCAATCTCCTGTCCAAGTTGGAGGAACCAAAAAGGTGTTTTATTCATAATAGTGTATAGACCCCCAGGTCCCTATAGTGAGTTTATAGCAGAGTTTTCTGATTTTTTAACACATTTAGTTTTGAAATGGGACAACATTGTGATAGTTGGAGATTTCAATATACATGTCGATGACTGCAAAGACTGCCTCAGCAGAGCGTTTCTTACTTTGTTAGATGGATTTGGCTTCACACAGAGTGTTAAAAAGCCAACACACAGTCACCAGCACACGCTTGATCTCATCCTGACATATGGTATCAAAGCTAGCAACATCTGTGTCCTCCCTCAAAACCCTTTACTATCAGATCACTCCCTAATCACCTTCAATATTACCCTTAATGACTACCCTGTACCACAGAATAAAACTATAATGAAACGGACCATAAACAAAACAACCATTTTAAAGTTCAAAGAAATGATAGAGCCAACATTTGGCACCATGTCAAGTGAGCCTGCTCTGAGTAGTCTAAATCCTACGGAATGTGACCAACTTGTGGACGGCACTATGAACGCACTAAAAATGGCGTTGGACGTAGTCGCTCCAATAAAACAAAAAACCATCAGGCAAAGGCATTCCTCCCCATGGTACAATTCTGAACTGCGCACTTTGAAGCAGAGGGTTAGAAAACTGGAGAGACTGAGTCGCCACTCTAACTCGGAGGCCTCTCACAGGGAATGGAGAACGTGCTTCATAATTTACAAAAATGCCCTTCGCAAGGCTCAAACACATTACTACTCAACATTAATTGAAGCAAATAAAAACAACACTAGGTTTTTGTTCAGCACTGTAGCCAGGCTGACAAACTGCCATAATTCTGTGGAACCAAAGGTGCCAATTACCCTTAGTAGCGATGAATTTCTGAATTTTTTTAACTGCAAGATCACAAAAATTCGCAATAAACTGGATGAGACGATTCCCTCCATTAGCAGGGAGCAGGGCCAAACTGTGTCATTATTGTCAGATTCGGACCCTCTGGTAACCCTGAACAGGTTCACTACCGTGAGCCAAGCCGAAATAATCTCAGCTATTGCATCCTCTAAGACATCATCTTGCATTTTAGATCCAATTCCAACTGGACTTCTTAAAGATACTCTCCCGCTAATAATTAACTCTATTTCAAGCATTATAAACACCTCACTCGAAAGTGGCTATGTTCCAAAATTATTTAAAGCTGCAGTAATCAAACCACTTCTCAAAAAACCTAATCTTGATCCCTACCTGCTTGCCAATTACAGACCCATTTCCAATCTCCCCTTTATTTCAAAAATTCTTGAAAGAGTTGTAGCCGAGCAGCTACACCGCCATCTACGGGACAATCATTTAGCAGAACAATTTCAATCAGGCTTCAGAGCTCATCACAGTACAGAAACCGCATTAGTTAATGTCACGAATGATCTTTTACTAGCCGCCGATAACGGACTGGTGTCAGTGCTAGTTCTGCTAGACCTCAGCGCCGCATTTGACACGATAGACCATAAGATACTATTACAGAGGCTAGAATGTGACATAGGTGTCAGAGGAACAGCACTTCACTGGTTCGAATCCTATTTATCAGATCGGTTCCAGTTTGTGAGTGTGAACCAAAAATCCTCACTCTGTTCTAAAGTGGCCTTTGGTGTGCCTCAAGGATCAGTACTAGGTCCGGTTTTGTTTACACTTTATATGCTACCTTTAGGAAATATTATCAGAAACCATGACATTAACTTTCACTGTTACGCAGACGACACGCAGCTTTATTTATCGGTGAGACCAAACCAAACAAACACGATAGATAGACTCAGTGCCTGTATTAAAGACATAAAGACCTGGATGACCTTGAATTACCTGCTTCTCAACCCTGATAAAACAGAGGTAATTGTCCTAGGCCCTAAAAGCATGCGTGACGCTCTCCGCGACCAGATCACTAGACTCGACAACGTCAGTATTTCCCCCAGTGACAGGGTAAGAAATTTAGGGGTCATATTTGACCAAGAGCTTTCCTTTCGAGCACATGTAAATCAATCAAAGAAAACGGCCTACTTCCATCTGCGAAATATTGGAAAAATTAGAGGTATCCAGCCGCGAAGTGATGCTGAAAAGCTTATCCATGCGTTCGTTACGTCAAGCCTTGACTACTGCAACGCTCTCCTAGCAGCGTGTCCCAAATCCACTATACACGGCCTCCAGCTAGTCCAAAATGCAGCCGCAAGGGTCCTGACAGGCACTAAACGAAGGGAACATATAACCCCAGTGTTGAAAGCGCTCCACTGGCTTCCTGTGGAGTTTAGAATCAAATTTAAAATTCTTCTCCTGACCTACAAGGCGACAAATGGTATGGCCCCCATCTACCTCCAGAATGTACTGGAACCATACCAACCAAACCGTGCACTTCGCTCTCAGGATGCCAGACGCCTGGTGGTCCCTAGAGTGTCCAAAAGCACAGTAGGAGGCAGAGCGTTTAGCTACCAAGCTCCTGTCTTGTGGAATCAGCTTCCTACATCTATCAAAGAGGCGGACACAGTCCCTTTATTCAAGGCCAGACTTAAAACATTCCTCTTTGGATTAGCGTATGGTTAGCTCAGATAGATAACTAGTAACACTTAGGGATATTTATCCTGCTCCCCTGTGGGCTGGACTTGTATTTTTATTATATGTATATATATATATATATATTTTATTTTTTATTTTTTTCCCTATTCAACGGTTCTCAATTCACCATGCTTCCTTCATTCAAATGTTAAAATCCCTGTACATACAACTGTTTTTAATGGCCAAACATACACAACTGTTTCTAATTCCCTGTTTTTAATGCACCATACATACACAACTGTTTTTAATGCCCTGTTTTTAATGCACCATACATTCATAACTGTTTTTAATGCACCATACATACACAACTGTTTTTAATGCCCTGTTTTTAATGCACCATACATTCATAACTGTTTTTAATGCCCTGTTTTTAATGCACCATACATTCACAACTGTTTTTAATGCCCTCTTTTTAATGCACCATACATACACAATTCTGTTTTTAAAGCACCATACACACACATACACAACTGCTTTAATGCACCTTTTTTAATGCACCGTACATACACAACTGTTTAGTGCACTGTTGTGACTGCACTTTAAATGAAGCACCAAACTTTTCCCGAACTGTCTTTTCTAATATATATCTTTTTTAACCCGTCATATCCACGGACTGCAGGATAAATAGTTCTCGTTTTTTACAGTTAATTTGTTGTAAATGCTTAAATTTCGTTTTTGCATTGCTGTTCACCTGTTGTCCCTCTCTCTGTTTCATGACGCGCTGGTGGGACTCGAAACCCTGACTCCCTGGACCTGAAGACTGGTCCACAGCCGTTGGGAGTTGGCGGTTCTGTGACGCCCCTTGAGACAACTGTTGTTGTGATTTCGGGCGATACAAATAAAATTGAAATTTAAAATTGAAATTGAAAAATACTGTTTTAAAATGACAAAAAGCGATCGCGAAAAACACGGAAGTTACCATGAAACAACTAGCTAGCTTAG